TGTGGAGTGCTTCGTGACCCACGCTTGGAAGGAGGGGATATGGGCTCTTGTTAGGGTTTAGGGTTTAGGGTTTCGGGTTTAGGTTTAGGGTTTAGGTTGAGGGTTTAGGGTTTAGGGTTTAGGGTAGGGCTCCTAGTCTCGTGAAGCCCCATGCTTTTTTTGGTGATTTCAAGGTTATAGTGTTTTCATAGGGCTTTTATAGAGCTTTGCATGAGGGGCTTCCCAAGTTGCTCAATCCAGCATGGATTCAAAAGGTTCTGCAACCCTAGACCCTAAAACCGTAAACCCTAAACCCTAAACCCGCTTCAGTGTCCTGGGTTTAGGGTGCGGGGTTTCGGGTTTAGGGTCCCGGGGTCCGCGGTTTGGGCTAGACCCTAAACCCTGAATCCTAACCCCCTCTTAGGCTGAGGCCACGCGCCCCTACGGTTGAGGATAGAAATCCTGCATTCACCTTACTAAAGGACCCTAAACAACGGGAGTTAGGGTTTATTCCTTATTATGGGGAAGTGCAGGATTCATATCATCAACTGTAGTATGAGTCCTACTCCTTATATGTCTACTATATACCATGTTTGTGCTCGTAAGGGTCCCTGCAATCTCTCCTTAAAGGCCTAAGAGTCCATATTAGGGGCCCATACGTTCTGACCTTAGAAGCCCGCCCTAAATCCCCAAAGACTCCAACATTTCTTAATGAAGGAATGTACCTTAAATCAGATTAGGGTCTCTAATCTGATTTAAGGTCTAGCCCTTAATTAAGGGATATACCTTAGGGTCCCTGATATGATGTTAGGTATATTCCTTAACTCCTAAACCCCAAACTCCAAAGCCTAAACCCAAAACCCTAAACCCTAGCCCGTTAATTTTAAGGTCTATTCCTTAATTAAGGGGTATTGGAGTCTCCGGGTCCCTATTAGCTCTCCGAAAACTTCTTTTACCCCACTCAAAGCCTTCGAACGCCCGAACCCGCTAAGCGCCCTTCCCCTTAGCATCAAAGTAGCCCAAAAGCCTTACATAATAGGGTCTTGGGGCCCAGGGGTAAGGGTTTGTTTATAGACCCCTCATATAAGGGAACCCTGAAGCCGTATAGATCCCTTTAAAGGAAGTCGGAACCCTTACAGACCCCCTTTTAGAGGAACCCTAAACCCTTATAGAAACCTTTCAAGGGAACCCTAAACCTTTATAGATCCCTTTGAAGAAGGAACTCTGAACCTGCGAACTGCGAAAACCCTAAACCCTAAACCCTAAACCCTAAACCCTAAACCCGAAGGAGGAGCTACAGAAGTTCGTCCGGTCCATCGAGCTCTGCTTTGCTCATGCACCCGAGAAGCCCAGCCTGTGCCCCGAACGCTTCCTAGAGCTACCTAATTCGGTTTAGGGTTTAGGGTTTACGGCCTTTAATCCTTGAAGCGGTCTCGACTTGGAGGTTCATGGGACTTAGTAACTGGGGTTATAAACAAGGTTACTATACTTATAGCTACTTATAACACCAATTAAGGTAGCTATAACTGTACGTACTAAGTCTCATGAACCTTCAAGTAGGGTCTCTACGGGATTTTAAGGTTTAGGGTTGTAGATGTGAGCGTTCAGAACCTGGGGTTTGGGCTTTAGGCGGGTCTTGTGGGATTTAAAGCCCACATGCTGCTGCCGCCGCTGCTGCTGCTGCTGCTGCTGCCGCTGCTGCTCCCGCGACTACTACTCTTACTTACCGACGACGACGACGCCGACGACGACGACTACTACTACAACTACAACTACTACCTCTTCTGCTACAAACTACTACGACAAAGTACCACTACAAACTACTACAGTCGAGAGCAAAGCAAGACCCTGAGCTGCATCCGCGTTTCTTTGTTATTTCTCGGCCCTGTGATCTCAAGGTGGATATGTATCTTCGCCATAATTCAGTCAGACAACCCGTTGGACTTGAGTGAGCAACTGGGCAATGATCCCGCGCACGCTCCATTTACTGAAGCTCTGAAGCGAGCGAACAGATATCTTGTCGTTCGAAATGATGCCGTGGATGTCTTTGCCCGTATCTGGTGCTGTTGGGAGCTGTATTGTGCAGCACAGGGCGGGTTCTTGCAGAGCGACACTTGGATGTTCAGCGGTATCCTTTTGCTTTTTTTGGTATGGGTTCCTAGTACAACATAGCTAACATTAGCTACCCCGAAGAAGTATATATACTTTTCCAGGTGGGTAGCTGAAGAGCTCAGGACAAGTACATCGTCACTGGGCCAAGCAGGTTTCCAAATCCCGAGAATTGGGATATTGGCAAGGCCGACGCGTCAAACTTGGAGGACAAGCGTCTCATCATGCTTGCGGTGGCCAGCAACCAGGAGATATACCACACCATCATCGAGAAGGCGGTGTTGATTCGAAATCATCATGTCCCAGAGGAGGACCAGGAGAAGTGCGGGAATCCCGCGCGGTGGATGGCACGAAGTTTGGGCGGTGCGAGCCACGCAACTGCTGCCATTTTACCACCCACACTGACTCGACATGCCTCGGCGTGATGTGGGGCTTATGGGATCATGGGGCTTGAGAGCTTAAAGCGATCCCTAAAGTTAACACATAGGGTTATGGATAAGGCCGCTTTGCTTATAACTACTTATAACCTGAGTTAAGGTACTTATATCCACACTTCCGAAGTCCCTAAACCCTAAACCCTAAACCCCAAACCCTAAACCCTGAACCCCAAACCCTAAACCCTAAACCCTCAACCCTACTTACGAAGTCCCATGATCCTTTAAGGGGCCTGATGCGGGGTGGCCCCTATCGGGCCGCCGGTTTAGTTGCGGAATGTTCTGGTCGCCCGCAAAGTCGCTTCCCAGAGAGCCCTTAAAGGTTTTAGGGGTTTAGGGGTTTAGGGTTTTAGGGTTTAGGGTTCAGGGTTTAGGGCTTCCCAGAGAGCCCAATACCCCTTAATTAAGGAATCTACCTTAAGTTATAGGGTTCCTTGAAGGGATCTAGAAGGGTTTCTATAAAGGGATTTCTGGAACCATAGCCTTAAGCTATGGGGGTCCTAACATTATGTTTTTAGGCATATTCCTCAATTAAGGGGTATTGGGCTCTCTGGCTTCAGGCCCCTCTGCTAGAGGAGCCTCAAGAAGTGGAATAGGGTTCGGGGGTTTAGGGTTTAGGGTTTCGGGTTTGGGGTAGTTTAGGGTTTAGGGTTTAGGGGTCTACATTGTCCCTTTGCTAGAGGAGCCTCAAGAAGTACCTGTGACCCCAAACCCTACAAAATAGTAGGTTATGATCCCGAAATTTAAGGGTGGAACCCTTAAAACGGTAGGTTTTTGGATCCCCAGGTATAATACGCTTAGGGGGTTTAGGGTTTCGGGTTTGGGGTAGTTTAGGGTTTAGGGAAAGTTTAGGGTTTAGGGGTCTGCATTGTTGCTACATCACTCTCCCGAAGTGGTCCTCAAGGTAGGCTCCTCGTTTCATTATTTGTGGGTACCGGTACCGGGACAGCTTCCATGTATGTCCCCTTCCATGTATGTCCCTGCTGCTGCCTAAGGCAGAGCAGAGATTTTAGTTAATACCTCGCGAGGCGCATCGATTGCGCAAGCACAAAGGACTGCGATTGCCTTCCAGTCCTGAAACCCTAAACCCCAAACCCTAAACCCTAGTTGGTTTGTCGGCAAATGCCAGACCAAGAACCCCACACATTTTACATCCAACCCCATAGAATGACGTCTTCGAAAGTACTACGAGCCGTCCCGTCTCTATCCTAATGAACACCCGACACCCTAAACCCACCCTGAAACCTTGAACCCTGTAAAGTATCCGTGAAGGAGCCCTCTTAACAAAATTGAAAGCTGAACCCTGAACCCTAAACTTTTAACCCGAAGCCTTCAGGGGCTATGGCGGCTTTTTCGAGTTTTGGGTTTCGAGTTTAGGGTTTAGGGCTTAGGGTTTAGGGCTTAGGGGTTGCTCTAAACCCTAAACCCTAAACCCTATAGCGTGAAGGGTTCAGGGAATTGAGGTTCATGGAGCTTGAGCCGTGGAAGGCCTGGGTTTGAGGATGGATAAAGGCTGCAAGGTCTATTATAGGGGCCTTCTTAGTTAGAACAGGGTTTGGGGTCTATTATGCTATAATTATAGTAAGGAGCCCCCAACACCCGGGTAGGGAGTTTGCTTAGGCTTTGGTGGGGATTCCGGGCCTACCTAAACCCAAAACCCTGTAGCAAAAACCCTACATCCTAAACCCGTTCTGCAGGACAGCATGTAGCAGGAGCCAAATGGAGCATGACTCTCTATATGTCTTTAGGGTTGAAGCATTTCCAAGCCTATCGAGCCCCAGCGTCCCTAATTAAACCCCTAAGCCCTAAACAACCAAACCCGTAAACCCTAAACCCTAAACCCGAAGCCCTGGATCTTGCCTTCCCTCTTTGAGCCACGGGCCCCGCACGTCTCAACCTGAAAGCCTTGCGGGGGTTTAGGGGTTAGGGGCTTTAGGGGTTTAGGGTTTAGGGTTTAGGGGTTTGGAGGTTTAGGGGCCTTAAAGCCTACATCTGCCACCTATTCTAATCTTTGTAGAACCCTAAATAATTCAACAAATCTTGAACCCTAGACCCAAAACCTCTGAAGCCAAAGCTCCGAACCTTAAATGCCGAGACCCAACCTAGAGGTTCACACGGTAGCCAGAGCTTTCGGGTTGTAGGGCTCGGCGTTCACGTGTTCTGCCCTAACCGCTAAACCTGAGGGGCTGGGTAGGCTTAAGGGCCGAATGTAGGGGCCGAAATAATTACCAATACTATGTTGGGGGTTCCTTACTATAATTATAGTATAATGGGCCCCAATATTGAGGCCCTTATATTACGGGTCTGCGGTTTTGGGTTTGGGGTTCAGGGGGTCAGGATCTAGGGAGGCAGCCTTTCAGTTTCTGGGGGCTTGTACAGATCCACTAACAACGAACAACTTTTGGGCTCATCTACCCTCGGGCTCCAGTTACCAAAATAATGGGTTACGGGCTTAAATTCCCAGAGACTCCAGTGTCCCTTAATTAAGGATTATACCTTAAGTTATAGTAGGAGGCCTAATATGATTTAAGGCTTAACCCTAAGCCCTAAACCCAATATGATTTAGGGTATCTTCCTTAATTATGGGATATAGGAATCCCTGGGTTGGAAGGTTCGTCAAGGTCTCTTGGAGGGTGCTGCAAGTTTGGTGCAGGGGTCGGATTGGGTCTCAGCGCTCAGCGCCAGGCAGCCGAGCACTTCTCATGCCCTGACGCCCTGAATCCTGAACCCTGAAGCCGAAACCCAGCTTAGGGGTTCTAGGGTTTTAGGGTTT